TTTTTCTTTTCTTCCCTATCTTCTTTTGTTCGTCTCATTTTTGTCTCATTTTACATCATTTAAAGATGTAACAATCGTCAAATTTTTGATAACAAATTTAAATCTCAAATTTTTGATATTTAACAAATTATACCTTTTTGCAATTTCAAATTTTACAATTTAACGAATGAAATTACTCGAAATAGGGAAAAAAGGATTTAACTTATTTGAGAAAGAAAAACTTTCTACCTCAAATTAATTAATTAATTTCAAATAAGCTGAAGAAGTGGAATTTTGATTCAAACATATTGAAATTAATTGATATATCGACTATGAAATTACTGAGAAAAGTTGACAATTCTAATACGCGCCAAAAGTTATGCAACGATAGCTTTTGGCGGGGAATAAAATTGTCAACTTTTGTAACATTTATATTTGTCATCGGTGGACAAATGCTTCTTCCTTTTCTATTTCGTCCTCTTTTTCGCCTTTTTTTTTTTCTTTGTCAAATCAGCTTTAGCAATTGCGCAGCAACTGAACAAATATGCGCAGCTGTCAATACAAATCATCGTCATCATCATCATTATCATCATCTTTATTACTAGTATAGTATTGTTATCATATTACCATCATCATTATCATCATTGATATCAGTTGTTGTTACCATTACCATCATCATTATCATCATTAATTTTAGTTGTTCTTGTCATTATCATTATCATCACTATCATCATTGAATCGAATCAATCTATTTAGGAAAAATTTAAATAGAAATTTATGAGGGCAAATAAACCGTACGTAATTTTTGACTAAATTTATTAACTTATCTAAAACTACATTATTCCTCTATTTGCATTTCTCCTAAAAAAAAAAAAAAAAAAAAAAATTAATTAAATCAATCGGAAATTGAGGAATTATCAGATCAAAGAACAAAGAGAAAAAAAGAAATTAAATTTAAACAAAAGTGAAACTAACAATTTTAACGCTAAAAGACTATAAAATTTAACAACGAATTCGGTTGAAAATAATTAACTCAGAAAAAAAAATCGGAAAATTTTCAAAACTTTTTTTTCTTTTTTTACTTTCCCAACTAATTGCTTCATAATTTATCCTTTCAAATTTTTACTGATATAAAATCAGAAGTACTACATATATATTACATACATATACATCATGTTAGCCTTCCGATAATAGTATGATTATCAATCAATTCAGAAAATATAATGATAATATGAGAGGGAGAGGAAAATGTTCTATTTGAATCTGAACAAATAATATTTTTTGTTGGATAAATCATCCGGAAAAGTTTACATTAAAATAAATATTCGGAATGATAACTTCTTACCAAGCTGATATTGATAACAAGTTATTAAATCATCATCATCATCATCATCCTTAATACTGCAGTAGTATTGTAATCATAATTGTTACTATTTTATCATCATCGATGTTAGTTATCATTATCATCATCATTATCATTATTTGCTATTCAATTCGGAAAATTTTTTTCTTTGCTAACAAAAATAAAAAACAATTAGATTGCTTATCAATCAATCTCAATATACGAACAAGCTTACTTAATGATTTACCCTAATCATATCAGCTATATGAGTGATATTTGTTGGAAGAATGATTATTTGTTTTGTTTAATATTTTAATATCAATAACTTTCAGGGTCAATGCTACGAAATATTCCGTGCAATAGTTTATCGAAAATTTGAAGAGCAATTTAAACGATCAGGTCAAAAGCCGATCATTGATATAAAAACTAATTTATTATGGTCTAATTGATTTCAATAATTTTGCAAAAATCATAAGTAATATTTATCTTCTTTTATATTTTTGATCATTTCTACTTTCCCTTTCTCCAATAATTACAACTCTAAATACTACCAAAAATTTAATTAATTAAACCGGAGGAATTAAATATAAACTAATGATTGTTATTGCTATTTCTCGTATCATCGATACATTACGATAGCTAAGAATTTCACGTACCTTTCCACGTATTTCACGCACTATACCCGATAATAGTTGGAGGTTGAATATTTTAGTTTTGAAAGAGGAATGATTGAATTATATTTCTTTCATTCAAATTAATTGCTGATAAAATATTATAGATGATTAAAAGATGGCTTTTCTAATACTTTTAACCTGCTCTGATGATAGATCAACCATTCCATTGGGAAATGATTGCTTGCAATAATATCCACATATTTTCATATTTTATTGAACTATTTTCCATTCTTCTTTTTTCCTTTTTGATTAGTTAAGTTATATTTTTAAGGCCAACAACAATGATAATTTCAACAATAATAATAAAAACAATGACAGTAATAATAGCAATAATAATAACAGTAATAATGATAATAATAATAACAATAACAATAAAAACAGCAACAGTAAATGTTCTTTTGAATGCAAGGAATAATTAAAAATGCACCAATTATCCATTTATTCAGCTATATTTCATCAGCCTATTTAAACTACAATATATATATATATTGGGCTAGCCAAATTGTACCTTTCCTGTTGATAATATTGTTAATAATCACATATTGTGACTAGCCAAGTTGTACCTTTATGATTGCATAATAATGATAGATGTTCCTTACATACAAAAATATTTCAATCGGTTTGTTGAAGCATAAATTTATGACTTGATTAAATGTATCAATTATCCATCTTCATCGTCTCTGATTATTTGCATCATCCTTATATTCACCATTTAAAATATTATACCAAAGCAAAATTCCTCAAACATGATGGACATCTTCAAATTGATAGCAATAAAAATTGGAATTCGAAATGCTATAAAAGTGACATAAAAAAAGTATAAGTCAGGTATTAGAAATTAGGTATTTGTTTATATTTTTAATTGAACTGCTAAAAATTGAAAATATGAAATCCATTATCAATTACAATTACACAACAATTTTATGCCCAATGATTTCCAGTAAATTATTTACAAAAAGTTTAGTATTCCCAATAATTTCCCTTTCATATTCTTATTTAAGTTTATTACTACTGTTATTATTACCACTAATTAGCATCAATCCCTTTTTTTCACCTTATTAATTACCATCGTTATAACGAAATTTATAAATGTACTAAATGTACGTTTTGGCATTTCCAAAATGTAATACCGATGATGATCGATGTATCATATTAACGGTGATCGATGTATCATATATCGATAGATCGATGTATTACCAAATTATAAAAGATTGATATTATTATGCATGCAAATTATGGGAAGAAGCAATAGATAAGATGGAAAATACTGATTGCATTCCTCTAAAAAAAAATAAAAAAAAAAAACCTTGAATAACACATTCTTGATACCAATCGGTGATAGGTACCTTGCTTATACATGTGCATACCTGTGTTTAAGGTTGATAGTACCAATCAAATGCAAAATTTTCCATCAAAAAACTAACCCCAATTTTATCACATCAATATCTTCGCCCCCCCCCCTCCCCTCCCCTTCCATTCGATCTGTATAATTTAATATTATTTCATTTTCTCAATTGTTATAGAATTAACAACGATGAGACATAAAATATGGAAGGAAACGGTAAAGGACGAATTCCTAGTAATTAACAAGCAAGTATACCATGTGAAACAATCCAAGGAGTTGAAGAATTCAAAATTGAAGTTTGTGGTACCAAGCCAGGACACAAGTAATAAATAATTTGCAAGGTCATATACAATTGTAAATTGACCTCTTCAACTAAACGACTCGATAAGGTCAAGGATATAACTGATGATGATGATACATTTTGCAAAATAGTAAGGTCAGAAGTTGTCGGAAATTTCCAATATACGGCGTGAAATTGTTCAGTTGAGAACTGTGATAAAGTATATCCATTCAGGATATGATCTTTTCCGAATTGATAAAAAGCGGGAAAAATTATATTATTTAAACATATGACTATAAATTTTGCGATTCATTATTATAACAAATTCAGGAGGTCACTGGGAAAAAAAAATCTGAGAAATAAATCTAAACCATCACAAGGCATCGTGACTTAATCATCTTGTAACTTTATGCATTTTCAACAAATCGTCAAATTAGAGATATCAGGAAGTGTAACTAGGTGTAGTGGTCTGAATGGTGCCAAAGCTGTATTTGAACGCTTTGGACAAAATCCAGTCCACTACTCCCACACTTTAGATCAAAATCTATTACAGTACTCCGGTACAGTATTCCGGTAAGGCTTACATTTCGTGTAGGGCTTGATTTTTCGAAATATTTCAGTATGGTGTAAAAGGAAATTTCAGTTCAGATGAGGAGAAATGACTGGTTTGCAGATAATCAAAAATAAAAATCACATTTCGCGGGCCGAATCGTGCTGTGATGCATATTTCAATTACAATGTACCACAAAGCCGATACGGCTCACGAGATTTGCTAAAAAAATTACGGTTAGTGTAAGATTTCATTTTTTGATAACTGTAATGAATTCATGTAGTATTATGAAATCCCTGAAGATTCCTGACAATTTGACAGATATATCCTTTACCGTAACAACTTTATTCAAAGGGAACCATTATTCCAAAAAAGGAAAAGAAAGAAGACCGAAAATTGCTTTATATGATCGTAAAAACACGACAAGCTGAACCACCAGTTGGCTGTGATTCGATTCAAAATTTCCTCAACGAATCACAAGACCACTGACGGTTCAAGCTCAGCCATGTTTCCGGAATTGCAAAATCATCCTGACTAGCAAATTCGCATTTAAAAAACACTTCCTCCTGGATATACTAAAAATTTCACAATTTCAGCTATCATACGCCTTTTTCTCTTCCTTTTTTTTTTTTCAATTCCTAACGCTTGCCAACGGAACGTTTTGCTAAAATTTATCGTCATTTCCCATTGGTTCAGCTAATCGTTGCCATAAATAACAAAGTAAAACTACTGTAAATCTGCCAATTTTTGCGTTGATTGATGTGTGTGGGTGTGTTGCTAGCGCAAAATGAAATAAGCGTGAGAAAGACAATTATTTAGCTGGCTAACTAAATACTATTTTGATTTACAATCAGAGAAACGCTTACACACATATGTTCAAATAAAATCAATGATCATACCTAATATATCGGAGAATGATTCATTTACTAAACATCCCTCCATTCATATTTTACACCATACTATCCCGTCCCAAAAATTCACGAATAAATACCATAACCAATTTAACCTATGGTCTATCAGCTCTAACATAACACACCATAAGTGAAGTTAGTCATGCCCTTCTTTTAGCCGATTACTGAGAGCGTACCGGAGAAGCATTCATCGTATTCCATTCATCTATAATCGAGTAAAACTTATTACACAATTTCATGAAGATAACTCTAACCTGATTACTTCCAACCTTTCCGGTAATCGGTGGACACATCATGTCCATCCCTGGTAATTTCAACCATTCCTTGATCGAAAATTTTATGCAGCTGATAAAAAGTGCACACCAAATCGGAGGTCAACAACAACCGTGCACACATATGCACGCACACATACACACATGCATATACGTACACACATATGTTCTTTTTAACATTTTTCCCATACATTTTCCTTTTTTTTTAACCAACAAAGAGAGGAAGAGGAAGAGAGACAAAGAGAGAGAGAGAGAGAGAGAGAGAACAAAAAAGAAGAA